TTCGATCGTGCCGCCGTCTCCTTCGCCGCCTTCGCCTTCTCCCAGCTTTTTTGCACGCTTTGCAATGTTTGGAGGGACTTTGTCACGGACTCCGTTGCCGACCATCCCGGCAGGGCGATTAAGCGATCGATTCGAAGGCTGAGCTCCTCTGTCCCGCCGGGCAGCCACTTGAAGCTGGTGTAAGCACATGGAGCCTCCATGTGTTTTGCTCAGGGAGCTTCCAGAAATGATGCATGTTGCCTTGCTTGGTGCTCACAGATTGCACGCTTGGCCTTCCTTCCGTTGTTGGAGAGAAGCATCGAGGGTCGTCATGCTGTCGTGAAACGAGCTACTGATCGAGCAGCTAATCATTCCGGTGCTTATGTGTCTAGTGCTCTTCGCCTGCCAGTTCTCTTGAAACAAGTGCAGAAGCAACCTGAAATTTTGTTGCAGTTGGCGAATAGTTTCAACAAGGTCAGGCTGCCGTTCTTTGTGTTGACCCATCTTGGTCTTCAGAAGTCTCCTGCTGTCTTGAAGTTGCAAGATCTTCCTGATGAGCAAAGAAAACATGCCATGAGATCTTTGGGCTTTGCTGATCGAGTGATGTTCAGACTGGATGCAGCTTCGCAATACACAGAGTGGGAAGATGTTCTCCTGGGCCCATGCAAAAAAACCCGCAGTCAGAACAAGCTGCCGCTGCATGATGCAGCTTCCAACGAGCTCCAACGGCATTTGGCTTTGGAACACTTCCGTGCAGTCTGCTCTGACAAATCAAATAGTGCTTCGTACTATGCTGCTGTGCTTCCTCTTACTGCCGGTGCCGTGGGGGCGGGAAGTGAGTTTCCATTTCGTGAAATGTGCACGGCCTTGTCAGCAGCGCCGGGTGTGGATGCAGTCATGGACGGTTCTGGAGAGATTGCTTGTTTTGAACCTGACCCAAGTGCCGAGACCCCTGCGGGGTCATCCTTGCAGCAGTGTGTTTCTCAGGATTTGACATTGGAAGAAGCCGACAGGGATCATCGTTGTGTCTTGTTCAAGGTTCAGCATTGGAGACCTAGCCTTTTGAAGCAGGTCAAGGGAGCGTGCATGACGTCCTTGCAAGCAGCAGATTTGGCGGTCACGTTGTATCCTTTGTCGGATGTAGGTGCCACTGAGTCAGAAAGAGTCTTGGGCGCGACAGGTGTTCCTCGTGGCTCCGGCGAGTCCCTTACAAGGGCCACAGCGCTTGTAAATGAGGCTCTATTCCGATATAAAGTCTTCCGGTTCCAGGATGCTTCTGATGTGCACTTCACTTGGCAGGGCCAATTGCTGCCAGGCTTTAGTCAGGAAGCTATGGACAAAGTTGTCACAGATCTCATGTGTGCAGATGCAACTCCAGAGTCCGGTCGGGTCTTTTCTCTGCCTCCTCCCAGACGTTCTAAAAGGAAACAGGCAGGTGCTGCAGATGGGGTCCTGAAGCAGATGACTGAGCGGGGGTGGCTTGAATTTAGTGGTGCAGGTTGGGCTCTGTCACTGGAAGGGATGCACTGGGTTAAGTCTCGAGTTGCCCTCACAAATCCAATTTCCGTCCTGCAATTGCGATTGCTGGACAACAGAGCTGAGTGGACGAGGCTCTAGTGCGTGCAATTCCTGCTTGACAAAGGCTGGGTAGCTCTCCTTCACCCCAGGGCGAAACGAGGTCGGCCGCTCACTCTCCAGTTGGCCATGCCTGAACAGGATGTTGACCTTGCCCCTGATGACGGGGGTCGGCCAGGGTGCACATGGTACTTCAAGACATCGCATCCGATGGTCTCGAGAGACTATCTTCAGGCAATGGTCGCAGTCGAGGAGCATCGTCAGGAATTGTTGGCTCTTGGCCTTGAGCATGTTCGGCATGATGCACAGGTGAAGTACTTTCAGTGTTTGATCAGATTGTCTTTGGGGCACGACACTTTGGAGAATTTGAAGGCTCTGGAACCCACTACGAAACGAAAGCGTGTGACAGCTTTTGAATCTCAGTTCGAAGCCCTTGAGCCTGTGCCAGACCAACCCTGTGTTGCGCTGCAAGACTCAGCGGCTGCCGCCGACGTCGAACATGGAGCATCGAGCCCTGAGGGGGGTGGTGCACTGGACGACATTGACGACCTAATGATAATGGGTTTTTTTGACGACCATGATTTTGAGGAGCCTGAGCCTCCTGCTGCGAGCAATGCAGCAGACATTTTGTCTCCGGCTTACAATGAAGATGCACCTCGTCATGCTGATGGGGTGCCTCCTTGGTGCCTCCCCCACCGCCGCCACCGGGGCCCCTGCCACGACCTGAAGCAGCCGCCGCCAAAGCCGGGCCAGCCAGAGCCAAGGAGCGAAGCAGACATGAGAAGACGCATTCTTGGGGTGCATTTTTGATCACGTTCAAGGTTCAAGGCGCCGGGACTGCCAAGGAATCTCATGCCTGGCAGGCTACATGTCCTAAACCGGAGCACAACCCGAACAAGCGAACGAAGTGCACCAAAACCATGTCGTTCAAGCCCGGGGACCATGCAGCAGAGCTTAGCACGCTTTGGAGGGTACGGCATTGGTGTAACAGCTGTCATCTCTTCGATGACAAGATTGAGCACCAGGCATACCATCCCCAGCTAAACGAGCTGCCAGAGGAGAGTGCCATAGAGTTGTGCAAGGTGGATGATTTCTTGCCTGTAGTCCCAGCTGCCGCACCTGCCGCGGCTGCACCGGGTGCAGCAGAGTCTGCACATGCTTCTGACGTGTCGGGTTCAATGTCTCCGTCATCCTCCGATTCGTCGTCGTCATCGTCCTCATCTTCTAGTTAGGCAGCTTGTGTAAGTTCCTGGCGATGCTTTGGCCAACCACTCCGGCTGATGTGTGCTCTTCTGAGTTCTGATTCTAATTCAACTTCTGATCGTCGCGACAGTTGTCTTGCAAGGGCATGAGCTCATTCCGTGGTGCTTGCAGTCCTGTTATGCACATGATGCACATGCGCTGTTCTCTGAGCATTCAAGAAGAAACTTTAGGTGCTTGGAACACTTTTGGGCGAAATCTTAACGTGCTCTTTTCTGAAACAGCTTGTTTGCTACATGTGCAAGGCAAACCTGCGGGGACCTTCGGGGACCTTCGGGGACCTTCGGGGAACCTCGGGCAACCTTCGGGGACCTTCGGGGAGCCAGCCCAACCTTCGGGGAACTTGGCAGAACCTTCGGGGAACCTGGCCGGTCGTGCTTTCGCAACCCACATCTCGACCCTCCGACTGGTGGGTGCTGGGGACCATAGTACAGGTAACAATAAGGAACAAAGGTTGTTCGACAACCTTCGGGCAACCTTCGGGGACATTCGGGGAACTTGCGGGGAACTTGCGGGGAATTTCGGGGACCTTCGGGGAACCTCGGGGCAGTTTCGGGGACCTTCGGGGACCTTCGGGGCCCATCGGGGCCCATCGATGACCGTTCGGGCTCTCAGACCTCCGGTCTCAAAAAAACAGTTTCGGGGCTTTTGCGCCAATTTCTTTTTATGTACCAGGTTCTGCTCGCAGTTCTCTCGAAATCTCTTGAAACGTTTGCAACAATGCCGCAAACTCGTAAAGTTTGCTAAAGGCTTCAAATGCTAGTGTCTGATCCCAAAAAGAACCAATCGTTACGTACTATACATAGTAACACGAAAGCCGCCAGTGTGACGTTGCCATTTATGTGGAAGCTGCGCAAGCCTTTCGACTTGCTTTCCGCTGTCGTGAGTGAGTGCCTGCTTATCATAATCCTTGAACTCTTGCATTCTGGCTTGCTCAGGTGCTTCCCGGGCACCTTTTGCATATCTTCGATGCCGGTGCAGAGCAAGATGTGCAAGAAGCCCGCGGCTAGATTGACCGGAAGGAAACTGCAGGCTTCGGCAGCTGGCAGTACATCAGGGCCAATGGCTCACGCCTCAGCAGCCGCTGAGACTTTTGCGGAGCAGCCGAAGCATGCTCGAGCAGTGGACAAGGAAAGTGCGACTGGCTTTGTAAGAGGCCCGTCCACGCAGAATGATTTGTTCAACAACTGGGCTCAGAAGGCGGCTTTTTCTGTACGCATGGCACCTGAAACAAAGACTCGACCGAATCTTGGCCCGTGGTCCTGTGGTCATCTACAGCGACCACTCCGGCTCCGGCAACGGAGAAGAAGGTCTCCTAGCAGTGGGTCGAGGCCTCCGACGTCCCCGTGTGTCCTGGGTCGCCCGTGGCTTGGAGTTGCTGTGACCTTTGTTCTGAAGCACAAACAGCGCTGACAAAGACCTCAAGATGCAAGCACCTCTTCAACCGGGTCGAGGACTTTGCTGATGATTCTTTGAGGCGACGGTTGATGAAGAAGCTCCCGAAAGCATCCGACGCGCCGGACAAGAAGTTGCAGAAACTGGAGATGATGTCGAACGAGCTCTCCACCCGAAGCCGGGAATACTTTCCTCCCGGCAGGACAGCTCTGTGCTTAAGGATCGGTGCGAGGGTTCCTGTGATTCCTATGAGATTTTCCTCCTGGCAGGACCGCGACGTGCGTATGGAGTGGTGAGAAAGTGCCGGTTATGTCACCGGCATCTGCGGCCGACGATTCTTTCAGCATTGTCATTTCCGGTACAGCGTGCCAGGACTATTCTTCGATGAATCAGACAGCCTTAAGGGAGGCAGGCCAAAGTGCGACAACCTTTGCATGGTGGAAAAACCATGTTTTGGCAACGGCACCCGATTGCATCTTTCACGAGAATGTGATGCGTTTCGACACCGCCTTGCTTCACGATGCCTTCTCCGACAGCCTGGCTTGATTATGTAGGGAGCAGGTTGCTGGCTCGCGGAACTAAACTCTTGGAAATGTGAATACCGGGAGCAACTCATTCATGGGATGTACAACCGAGGTATGACATCTTCGAGTTTACACTCTCGCCGCCGCCCGGCTGCATTATGCGATGTCCTCTCCGAATCCGTCTGCCACATTCTGAATCGCTTGTAGTGTGCATGTCTGAGGATACATGTGGGTTGGCCCATTCGCCGGCCGCGACGCCTCACTGCAATGGTTCGCAAAGACAAATGGTGCTGCTCAGCAAATCAGGCTGAGATCCTGTCTTTCTTTGGCAGGGAGCCGAGCTTGACCGGCTCAGATCTACTCTGTGCTGATGATGAGACCGTGCAAGAGTACATGTGCGAGAGGCTCAAGCGGAAAGGCCTTTGGGTGACTGAAAACAGGTCGCCGGATCCGAAAATGTGCTTGACGAATGCTCAGCGCCATCGTCTGGAAGACTGTCTTCGAGCCCAGGCCGAGGCCGACCCCGCGCCCGAGGACTACGTAATGGATGTTACGCAGAATCTTGATTGGACTTCTGTAACACAATACGCGCCGTGCCTTCTGCGGAACAGCTTGCATCTTGTCTTGTACTTGTGATATGGGCCGCCTCTGTGACTCATGTGCAGTCATGTGCAGTTGCAGTGTTTTGCAAATACAGTAAAGAGTCAGCGAGCTTGCTTTCTTAGGCTCTCGTTTCACCGAGCTCAGCGTTTCGCCTTGCCGGTGGAGCACTTGGCCATGCAGGGCATTCCAGTGATGAGGCATCTGGATCCAAATCCGGTGCCTGGCCATCGATCCTGGTGCCGCTTTCTCGACAGCAATAAGGTGGCAACTGACCCCGGCCAGGATCGCTTTTGCCTCAGCCTATCCGGAAACGGAATGCACAGGCCGTTGATGGGCACGTGGATGTGTTACATGCTGTCGACCATCTGCCCACGCCAGCAAGACTTTGTCTTTCGGATGCGGTCGTTCAGCACGAACAGGGGCGACGAAGATAACATGTCGGATGAGGAGTCTTTTGAGTTTTGTACCTGCTGAGCTTGACGCCGTCATGTAGTGGTTGGGTGACTCTTCCCCGTTCAACAGCAGTCATTAGTAATTAGTAATTAGATAATGCAAGGGTTTAATGAAGGTAGTTTTTATCGGGCCCGGGATGTGACTCAAGTTGTGACTCTTGCTGAAATGAATGGGGATTGAGTTATGGTGATATAGTGGTAATGTATGTATGCAGTGATGGACTGGTGATGCATGATGTAATGCTTATATTGAAGCTTGGCGGTGTGCAGGCTCCGGCTCATCTTTGACCGAGTCACGAGACTCGTACGGGAGCCGACGCGAAATGTGTCGGTATCAGCAACAACAAAACTCGGGCAACATGGGGCTGTCAAAAGTTGGGAGGTCGTGTGCATTTCATCCAGAGTCTCAGTCAGTTGCTTGGCAGTGCGTTGTGTCCGAGAGTTTTCGAGCCGGGTGATTGTGTCTGTGCGTGCAGGTTTTGAGGTTTTGCAGTGCCGCCCAGCAGGACAGTGACATGAGTGACACGATGACATGTCTAGAGTCCAGAGACAGAGGCCAGAGGTAGGCAGAGTTCGGTGCATTCAAGACTTCGAGCTGTTGCTTGTTGTGCCCGCTTGCGATTTGTCAGTTGCAAAGTGCAACTAACGACAGATCCTAGCCATGAGCGACTTCCTCTCCGATGACAAATCCGAGTTGTTTGAGGAGGAGCTTGGAGCCTCCTCTGCCCCACCGGTGCCAGAGCCAAAGGCGGCGGCCAAGCGGGCTGCGAAGCAAGAGAGTAGTCCCGATGGGACGCCTGCGAGGAAACGTCGAGCAAAAGCCAAAGCCAAAGCCGGCGCCGACGCCAGCGCCGACAAGGGCATTCGCGAGTCCTACCACGGAAAAAATCCGTGCTGTAACAACTGCAAAGCGGATGTGGATGCGATGCTGAAAGATGCAAAAGTCAATCAGTGGGTTGACAAGTTTGAGGAGTGCAAAAAAAAACCTGCTGTCTTCAGAAAGCTTCTGAGAGATTTCCAAGCCGAATGCCCGAGTCAAGGCCCGGGCAAAAAACGTCCGGTGTACGGCCGGGCGAGGGCCGTCGAGACCATAGCACGCGAGATGCTGTCGGACGAAGGCACCAGGTTCATCAAGGCTGATTATTTCCAGTTCGAGCGGCATTACAAGGCGATGCAGCTCGACGGTGATGAGATCAACGAGAAGTGGAAAGCCAGGCTTGCCGATGGCATATGCGACAGAGCTGGAGAAAACGCAGCCTTTCCGGAACGAGTCTTGCTCAAGGTGGAAGACTCCTTTCCGGAACGAGTCTTGCTCAAGGTGGAAGACTATGTCGATACCAAGAACCGTAAGAGACGCAGCTTGGAGATTCAACGCGAAGGTGCTGCAGACAAAGGACTCTTGGACGATGTCAAGGCTGAAGAGACCTTGAGCTCCGGCTTCGACGGCGATTGGGGCTCGCAGTTTTTTGGCCCTGGCGGTGCTGAGATGAAAAGGAACGAGGCAGCGGCCGCTGCTGCTGACAAAGCTTGTGACCGGAGCAAGCAACGTCGGGCCTCGTTTGGCTCGAGCAGTCTGCAGAGTGAGGAGTCAGGCAACGGCGGCTCGGCCGATGCCGTCACTGACTTAATTGTCTCTCGTCTTCGTGCCTACGAGGATGCGAGGGACTCCTTTCAGAAGATGAAGACAAGCTTCCTAGAGAGCCACAAGAAGGTGTCAGAAGAGGCAGGTTGCTGGTCAAACTTTCGAATTTTTTGCTTCGTCACGCTGCCTTCTGTGTTACGAATTCTGAGTTTCTATCTCGAGGTTTATTGTTCGTCCCAGTTCCTAGCAGCTCCTAGCACGAATAGAAAGCAGATTTCTATTCTTGGCGAGTTTGTGCGGTAGGCTTGCCCTTTCCTGCATACAGGTCGCACGGAACTATCATTGGTTGGTTGTAGCTGCTAGCTTTGATTTATGAATTTGTGCAGGTGGAAAAGATACAAGATGACCGTGGCCTCATCCCTGAGTACCGAGCAATTGCCACGCAGCGATTGAGGATTGCTGATGCTATGCTTTCGACCGAGAACCCCCCTGAGACCACAGACGCAAAGATCCAGGAGTTGCTGTCGGAACTTCCAATGTCCCCGGTGCCGAATAATGCGCTGCTTGTCTGCGAGCAGAGCCTTGCTGCTGCCATCCAGGGCTTGAAGTCTTGCAAAGCGGTCGAGAGTCTGGGCAAAGACATCGAGAACTGCAAGGGCAGCATCCAGGCTTGGTCTGTGCTGGGCCAGTCACTGCAAAGTGCAATGACCGAAACCACGAAAGCGATCAGGGAATGCACGAAAAGGGAGAAGAAGAAGGAGAAGGACGAGCAGAATAAACGCAAAAAGGACGAAGCCAAAGCAAAAAAAGAAGCGGAGGCGGCGCAAAAGAAGCAAGGGCAAGGGCCTGCCGGTCCTGCCGGTGTGGGCGCAGCGTATGACACCTTCTTCGAGAAAATCAGCGACAAGCCGACGGAGCTCACGGTCTTGACGGCCAAGGGTTTCCTCTCTAAGCATGATGATTGCGAGGAGGCCCATGTCATCCGAGCGGCGAGAGCGCCTGGAATCTATGCAAAGAATGCTGCTTTCGACAGCAGGCTGGACATGTTCAAAGAACAGTTCTCGACCAGCCAGGCCTGCATCTCCACGGGCCGTACCTTCATGAAGATTGGAGAAAGTGGCCGTCTCTTGGTGGACGAGTATGCCAGTTGGGCTTTGAATGCACCAACCCCGTCAAGCCGGATACAGCGCTCTTCGTGCCAGGCCTCGTGGGCATTTTGAAAGAGAGTGTCTTCTGGTCGATCATCGAGTTGTTCTTTTCGGCATGTCTTTCTTGGCAAGCTTGATGTGGTCACGATACCTTTGTGCAAAAATTGGCGGTCATCTGCAAGGACTGTGAGTGTCCGTGTGTTGTTGTGGCACTATAGGTAGTGCCTGCATGTCTCCAGTATCCTGCGGCCCTGTTGCATTGATAGCTTCCTTCACTGTCAGGAGCTGGGCATCTCCGAGGACATTGGTGCAATTTCTCGCAAGGCCCTCAACGATCTCGACGACAAGCTGATTCAGGTTCTGGTGCTTAAGGGCAAGGCAACCCACATTGACCCCGTCGGATATCTTGTACGTGCCGCCGCTTTCAGCTGTGGGAGAGGACCTAAATCGAACTCCGGATGCGACCGCTCTCAGACAAGAAAGACTTGCAAAGCACATGGGCCCCTTCTTTGTCATCATCGGGCATGTTCGCCCACTCAGCAAGAACACGGCGAGCGGCAGCTCGCGCTTGACTCTCATTAGGATGGGCCAGCCCTAGCAAGGAGCATGGCAAGCAAGTCCAATGGGCAAACTTTATCTGCAACATGAAGCTGAGATGCTGCAACCCAGCAACATATTCGCTGAACAGACTTGATTGTGGAGCAAACAATCTGTCGGCAGACTCCAACTTGCTTCGCACGAACTGCTGTAGGAAACCACATGCCATCTCTGGTCCTCGCCTACCTTTCATGATACAAGCGTGACCTGACAAAGGATGCTCAGGATGAACCTCCGAGACGTGGCAGGGACATGTCTGGAACCGCTGCAGCAGCTCATCAGGAGTTTTCATCAAAGCACGAAGCATGGACATGTAATCCCAAACACTGGCATCCCTAACGGCAAGATCGAATCTCTTGGCCTGCACAGATGCACGAACATGTTCTGCAAGATCGGCGGGGTTACGGCGGGGTCCGCCTGCACAAGAGCAGCACCTGGTCTCTCAGCATCGGAGCCATCGGGCTCCTCAGTTCCATCCTCGGCAACAGCATAAGCACGTCTGGCCGCATTTGCCACACCTGCAATGGCACGAGTAGCCCCCAACTTCCTCAATAAAGCCTGCAGATTCCACCACTCTCAAAGTGGAACCTCGAGAGGCTCGATTGCAGCCAAGAAATCAGATAGACTTTGCCAGCGCCAATCGATCAAGCGTTCTGAAAAGGAATCGAATCTATCCTTGTAATTTCGACCCTGACCTTGACTGAAGCATCGTTCCTGCATCCTCTTGCGCGGGTCGCGAAGAAACACGGCCAGGGCCTGCAGCTGCACTTTTAAAGGAGGCAAAAGATGCAGCTGCTCGCACATATCCGCACATATGTTGTGCATGATGTGAAGCACCCCAGGAACCTGGAGCGAATGCTGAAAGCTGATTTCTGGCCAGAAGTCCACAGCAGAGTCCAGGTCATCAAAGGTCTGAAAGGCTGTCTGATCACTGGCATCACACAATTGCGGACAGACAACTTTCTGGGCACTAATATGCTAAAGATCCCAGTCGAAATCTGTCGTGAAAGATGAAATGGATGAGATTACTTTGCGCATTGATTTGCCACTGCCGAGCCACTGTGCAGAAAAGCATGTAGCTTGTGTTGTGAGTTTGACTGTTGATGTTCTAAGCCAGCCGGCGGCAGGACTACCAGCTCGAGAGACAAGTTCCTCTCTCTGGGGAGGGTGTTCCAGTTCTCCACTGTAGTAGCTACGAGGCTAGTTTCGAGACATGGGGTAGAATTCGGTACTTGGAGGGCCTGTCGATTTTGCGGGCTGGAGGCTCTAGGGCTCGCGATCTTAGGGGCTCTAAAGTGCTTGCAAAACGGGCGCGCGCGGCATCGGAGGCGCTTTGAAGGCGCGCGGAGGGCTCGCGAGCTGTTTGGAGGCGCGCCGTCGTGCTCCGGAGCTGTTTGGGAGCGACGCGCGCTTACGCGCACTTGTTCGGCGCGGAGGGCGTGGGAGCAGCTCGTAGGTCGCTCGCAAGCTGCCGTATCCGGAGCTGTTTGGGGAGCGACGCGCGCTTGCGCGCGCTTGTTCGGCGCGGAGGGCTTGGGAGCAGCTCGAAAGTAGCTCGTAAGCTGCCGGCGAGTGGCGAAACTTTCGGTGAACTGTCTTGAATTTCGGTTATTTCGGTTGGCAAGAAGAAGCTCGCGCGCTGCTCGAAAGTAGCTCGTAAGCTGCCGGCGAGTGCTCGTGAGTTGCCAGCAAGTAGCTCGTGAGTTGCCGGCGAGCACTCGTCGGCTGCTGGCAAGTGGCGCGCCCTTAAAGTTCCTCTAAAGCCCGTTTTGCAAAGACTTTAGAGCCCCTAAGATCGTCGGAGCTGCGGGCCGTAGGCCCGCGAATCGACAGTGCTCCAAAGTACCGAATTCTACCCTATGTCTCGAACTGAGGCCTGTAGCTATCACAGAGTGGAGAGCTGGAACACCCTCCCCAGAGAGAGAAAATAATCCTCCGGGCCCGGCCCCGTACTGGTTAGCTCGGCAGCGGGAAGCCCGCTTCTCTCAGCGCTTGCCGGTGCTGCTCGGTTGCCCGAGCATAGGCTTGCGGAACGTAAGCAGCGAGAGCCCACATGCTGCCCTCGTGCGGCTCGACCATGTGATAGCGGCGAGCATCAAAGCTCACTGGCTTATCGTGCATGTCCAGCCACCGCCCCCGGAGCTCTTGCTCCCCCTTCTTGCCGGCCAGCAGTGCGGTAGAATCCCCCTCGTGTCTTCGATCCACACCCGCCCGCCTGTGTACTCGCCCAGAGCAAGCGCATGATTCAAGTGCCCGGCCATGTTCTGAATGTCGCGGTGCAGCCCCATGCGCGGGTTGAAGAGCACAGCTATGGACGTCCAGGTGCCGTTCGGAAAGCGGCTCTTGAGAAAGCTGTTCACGGCTGCACAGGCTGCCCGCAGGCCCGTGGCATTGGAGACCCCGACCACGCCGCCGTGCCCGAACAGCCCCAGCGTGGCATATCTCTCATAGGCCCCCGGCCCCACGGCCCGCGTGCGGCCCCGGTGCTTCCAATCCGCCGACCACAGATCCAGCAGCCGCACGAGATTGGCTTCGGTCGGCTCCTCCGTGGCCTTCTGGCAGGCCAAGTCCATATTTGACATTGACAGCATTTATCACCAAAAACACCCATGCCTTTAAAACACCATGCCGCACCCCAATTTTTTGGGATTTTGAAGCCGCCCCGGGAGGGTGCGCCCCGACGGCCCTAGCCGGCCGTTTTGCGAGCCGACCACGCACCGGCGAGAGCCCGATTTCGGTGTGTCCCCCGCCTAGGGTTTGAGCACGTCTTCGGCCGGATCGTCCCTTTCCTGTCGAATCGGTGCCGGCCAGCCTCGGAACGTGCTCGGGGAGGGTTTAGGATGGGTCGAACACAGCCACACGAAATCGCCAGGCATCACGGAACCGCCGCGGCCCCGATCTTCGGGGTGCGCCCTGCCTATGTTTCACACACCCTCCCGGGCCCGCCGGCCAAAAGCGACACAGCCAGCCTCGAGAAGGCCCACGCGTGGCCCAAAAGGCTTTGCCGGGCCGTTTCACACCAAACTGTGGCGGGAGCGCGATTTCGGTGGGTACGTCCCCTAGGTTTGGCTCAAGTTTTCGTGGCCTCGGCCGCTCAGTGTCGATTGGCGGCGAGCCTGTGGCTATCGCCGACCTGATCCGTGGGGGTTTAGGATGCTCACAGATGCTCGCTCGCCTTTGGTCACTGATGCCATTTTTTTGTTTTGTAGTGTAGCTAGGCCCGCCGACTTTTGCAGTAACATTTTGCTAGAGTGCTTTCGCCGGGGTTGCTTTTGGTTTGGTTCAGGGCACCCTACCCCTTTCGGCCCCGAAGTAGGCTTTGCTCCCCGTCTGCCCTGTGAGTGCCCTGCCACCCTAACCCGTAGGTACCTCACCCGGCGTCCCTGCATTCAGGTTTTGTTTCCGCGCCGCGATCCACCAGCTAGGGTGCACGTGGCTCGCGGGTCGCGGGGCAACACAGCACATCATGATCACATGAGCCCAGCAGCGCGGCAGTGGCAGCACAGGCAGCACAGGCAGCACTGTCTAGCACGGCAACACAGCAGTCACGGCACAGCAGACACAGGTGACACAAGCACCGCAGTACTGCACAATGGCGAGGGCTCTTCGTCCCGGTGAGGGCTTGGTGGAGATCGAGGATCGCGACGGCAGGGTGTGGCAGGTGCCGATCAATGTCGCGTACTGGCGCTCACTCAGCGGCGATCAGAGCCTCTACATGTTTGAAAGGTTTGTTGCTGACGGCGGGTTTTTGTAGGTGCCTTTGAGACTTTGAAGCTCTTGCCACTCTAGTTCAGATCCAAGGCAGACGATCCTGATGGTCAAGCTCCGCAACCAGATCGAGGCTGAGGGCACAGAGGACCGCTTGGCAGAGGGTGGCGGCGTGCTTCAGTGCAACGTCGCCCTCGGATGCGAGTGCCTGCCGCGTCCGCCCGATGGACTCGATGGACCCGTGGCCGAAGAGGGCGAGAAGGAGGACAGCCAGAGTCAGAGCTCGAAGAAAAGAAAGAAGAAAAAGAAGAACAAACCCCAGGCGGAGGGCGAGAAAAAGGACGACAAACCCATGGCCGAGGGCGAGCCGGCAAGCGGTCTGCACTCCATGGACTAGCGTGCCTCTGGTGGAGAGTGGAATCTTGCCCGACGAAGACTGCCGGACATGGAATGCTCTTCGGCTTTCTCGGCCATTTGGTTATGATCAAGTGCGTTTTTGGAGCGACCGAGGGGTGAGTTTTTAAAAGTGTGTTGCGTGGTTTTCCCTATTACCCCCCTAAGCCCCGGTTTCCCTCCCCTTAAGTTTTTCAGGGCTTCCCGAACCCTTTCGGCCCCCGCTGTAGGCTGTCCCCTTCTGCCCTGCAAGTGTTTTGCAAGTGAGTGCGCATCGGAGTGAGTCCCGAACCCGCTAGGCCCTCCCTTCGGCCCTGCATTGAACTTGTTGGTTTCCGCGCTCGCTTTCTCAAGGAGTGTAGGGTAGGGGCGGGGGGGTTGCCGGGCGGTCGGGCGGGCAGGTGGGCTTGCGTCGGGACCTCAGTTCGGTGTTCCCCTTCCCCAACCCTTTTGGTTACCCTAGGCCGCCTCTCACTGCCCTGTCCCGTTGCCCTGTCCCCGTAGGCTGCCCCTTGCCCGCGCCTTTCCGCCCAGGTCTGGACCTTCTCCGCCGGCGTGGTGCTCGCAGGGGTTCTTCAGGGGTTGTTCGGATGTTGTGCGGGCTTGGTGTCGTGCGAGTGCAAGTGCACAGGAGGGACCTGCGCTGCTTCCCGTAAACCTAGAGTGCCCTGCATTCCCCCTTCCCGGGAGCCCCGGCCCCTCCTTCGCTTCGCCCAGGTTTTCCTGCGAGCGTCTTCGCCGACTTCGAAACGTCTGGAGCCCTGTGCCTCTGCAAGAGTTGCCTCTTTGAAGCCGGCTGGTTGGCATGTTTCGATGCTTTGGAGTGCTCTTGCTCGACAGCATCGGGGCCCCACTGACAGGGGTGAGCATGCTTAGCGCCGACGCATGCCTGGAGAATCGAAGTCAGTGCGAGAACTTCTTTCACATACTTGGTTAATGTGGCTAGCTGGTAATACCACGAAGCTATCATCTGTTGCCATGGTTCGCGTCGTATCACTGAGCGGGCGAGAGGTCGACGTCCGCTGGGGTCCCGAGGACACCTTGGGCGATATCGCCGAGAAAGCCAGAGTGGCACTCGGCACCTGCCGCGGACGGCTTCTCCTCGGCACCGACGTCCTCGACTTCGACAGCAAGATGAAGGATGTGGGGGATGGAGTCCTGACGTTCCAGTCAATTTTGCCCCGCACGCTGGCGAGTTTGAAGGCATACACGATCCTGTACGGCGACGGCACCGCGGAGGCGGTGGGGGACCCTGATCTCGGTGGCCGAGGTGGCGCGCAGGGGGTGAAGGCGGTGCAGTGCACCTGCCAGGCCTTTGCAGCCCTCTTGGATAATGCATCGGTCGTGGCTTGGGGACATGAACTTGCCGGCGGCGATGCGAGTGCAGATTTTTACGAGGAAGACATCGTGCAGATCCAATCCACCGACACCGCCTTCGCGGCCATAACGATCGACGGCGCGATCGATTGCTGGGGTAACCCGCACACAGGCGGGTTGGGGCCCCTTCAGCCTGGCGATGATGGTGAACCTGTACGGCTTGACGTGGAGGGAGTGATCGCCATCCAGTCCACTGAGCGCGCCTTCGCCGCGATTCTCAATGATGGCAGCGTCGTGGCCTGGGGTGATGAAAATGCGGGCGGCGACAACCGCCTGGTCCTACCGGCGCTGAAGAATGTCGTGAAGATCCAGGCGACGGAATCGGCCTTCGCGGCCATTATGGCCGACGGTAAGGTGTCTTGCTGGGGTGACCCGGAAGCAGGTGGCGACGGCTTCTGGTCCGAGGATGGGGAGGACCTGTGCGGGGTCGTCGACGTACAGGCCACCCGAGCTGCCTTCGCCGCAATCACGTCCAGCGGCTCCGTGTACGCCTGGGGTCACGAGGCGGCTGGAGGCGACCTGGGTGGCCGCGTCATCACGGACGCCGTGGCCATCCAGGCAACAGACAAGGCCTTTGCCGCGATCCTGAAGGATGGCTCCGTGCGGGCCTGGGGCCATGAGGAATGCGGTGGAGACTGCGAGGCCGTGCGGGACCGCTTGGTGAAGGTCCGAGAGATCCAGGCCAACGACGCGGCCTTCGCGGCCATCTTGGAAGACGGCTCCGTGGTGACCTGGGGCGAGGCCGACTGTGGTGGCGATGGGCCGTCATTGCAGAACGTGAGGTGCATCCAGGCCTCGGCAGAAGCCTTTGCAGCAGTCCTGCATGATGGCTCCGTGGTCACCTGGGGGGTTGCCGCGGTGGGAGGAGATAGCAGTGCAGTACAGCATCAGCTGCGGGACGTCGTCCATGTGAGTGCGGGTATGGGCTTCTTTGTAGCAACTTTGGGCGATGGCACCACCGTACATTGGGGTGCGATCTGAATCCCCTGGCATGGCAACGGCGCCACGGTACAGAGGCGGCGCCTGCCGGTCGAGTTAAAAAGTGCCCTGTGCTGCAAGTTCGTGAGCCTGCAGTTTGGAGGGCCCTGCCCTCTTGCTCTGCCCAGGTCTCTTCGGCGCGGCGCCTGGACCTTGTCTGTGTCGCCTCTTGAAGTTCGGTATGCTTGTGAAGGGCTGATCTAAATGAATCACTCCCCCTCGCTCCCAGGCCTGGAGTCTTCGGCACGGCTCGCGACGGCTTCGCGCATCGCCTGGGCCCTGGTGCTCTCTTTGCTGCCTCTTCGAAGCCGGCTGGTTGGCATGCTTGTGCACTCGTCGCAGCTTTGTTGATTTCCCGAGCCCCCCAGCTTCAGGGGTAGGTGTGATGGCGCACTTTCGCCGCACGCAGGCCGTGAACGTGGTCCTCAGCCCCGCGCTGCCAGACCTGGCTCGGGTCGGCGTTCGCCTCGGCTTGGGCGACTATCCGGCCTGCTGCGACCGCCTGCTGGAGCTCCTGGACGCGAGCCGGTGCTCCGAGTCTGACCGGATCGGTGTCCAGCAAGCCAACGCTGAGTTGCAGAGGCTCCGGAACAAGCTGGACCTCCTTCCCGAGTCGGAGCTGTCCAAGGCTCGCCAAGAGGCGCAAGGGGCGCCATCTAACGCGGAGCAGCTGTTTGTGACGCTGCCTTCGCAGTCGGCATCTGCCAAGAGCCGCTCCGTTCTTCAAGGGCGAGGTTTGGGAAGGGGCTCCTCTGCTCCCAAGGCCAGTTTGGACAAGTTCATGAAGCAGATCAGGAATACGACCGAGGTTGCACAGCCCAGCGAGCCGAAGGTTGCACAGCTCAGCGAGCCGGTGGTTGCACAGCCCAGCGAGTCGGTTGCAGAGCCCAGTGAGCCGAAGTCCAGCGAGCCGGTTGCAGAGCCCAGCGAGCCACAGCCCAGCGAGCCACAGTCCAGCGAGCCGATTGCAGAGCCCAGCGAGCCGATTGCAGAGCCCAGCGAGCCCGCGGTTGCAGAGCCCAGCGAGCCCGCGGTTGCACTCAGCGAGCCGGTTGCACAGCCCAGCGAGTCGGTTGCACAGTGCAGCGAGTCGGCGGAGCAGGAATCAGCCGAGGAGCCATTGGATCCGGAGCCCTTCATGAACGGAAAGCTGGGTGAGCCGCTCAAGGAGTACAGGGACCACGTGGTTGCGAAGCAAGACTTTGAGCAGTACGGCCCGGACTGCCCGGTGGAGGAAGTCCGACGCTTCCGGGAGTGCCTCTATCGCGACGATAAGGACACGTCGAACTTCAACCCCTACTGGGTCGTGCTGGAGTTCCCCAGTCGCACTGGTGTGGGGCCGCTGCCAGAGTGGAACGGCGCGATGGCCTTCTGTCTTCGCGAAGGCGATCCCACGAACTTCATGCTCGTGAGCAAGAACAAGGGCGTCGCGGTGCGGGCCGAGAACGTCTTCAAGGTGAAGAAGGACTGCCTGCCCGCGCTGTTCTCCGCGATCCTCCAGGCCGGCTGGCAGCGGGGCAACATCCGCATCTTCGACAAGGGGGCCTACTACCAAGCCAAGGACCAGGAAGCGGCGGAGTTTTCCCCACGGGCGGCGCTCCGAAGCCTGGAGCACCTCGACCCCGTCGGCTACATGTCCCACATGGCCAAGCTGGAGGACCGCTTCGGAGGCGACACGGCCCTGCGGACTCGCAAGCGCAAGGCCACGACCGAGGATGAGTACATCTACGTGCAGCGGGAGGCCCTCAACAAGCTCCGCAAGGCCGTTGATGAGGAAAGGGAGGCCAAGGCGATGCTTGCGAAGTCCACGCTTTCCATCGCAGACTTCAACTACGAGACCTGCCAGTGCTGGTATTGGGACGAGCCGAGTGGCTGCAAGAAGTCCGTGCCCTTGGACGAGGCCGTCGCCATCGCCATCCAGACGAGGAGAACCATAGTGCTTTATGGGCCTCCAGGTCGAGGCAAATCGCCCTTCGCCAAGGCACTGGCCGGCTGGTACATGCAGCACGTCCTGGGTGGCAAGATCGACGAGATGATTTTCACCGGCACCGTGGACAGCCTCCGCAAGGCGTACCAGTTCAACCTGCTTCAGGGCGGGCGGCCCCTGGTTTTCGATGATCTCCTTGCCAACCGGCAAAACGTGGGGAGCCAAGGCGGAGGGCCGGACTTTGTCAAGCAGCTCTTGGGCATCTCCCGGGATGATCGAGCGACTCTCCAGAGTCGCTACGCAGATATGCAGATCCCACAGGATTGCCTGAGAATCATGACGGTGCAAGATGTCGACAAGGTGCACCCGGGGCTCCAGGTCATGCACAGCGCCACGGAAACCCACATCCCCAAGGAGTTCTGCGGGGACTTGCATGACATGCCCATCAAGGAGTATTTCGACGTGGACCGCCGGGCAATCCTCAAGAGGATGGTCGCGATCTTCGTCCCCGATGGCATCCTGAAAGGCGAGGTGCTGGGTGGCCGCGTCGAGTCTGATCAGGAGAACATCGCCAGGCTGCGGGAGCTCTGGAGTAAGACCGTCGGCTGAAGCCGCGGCTGGCACAGCGGTCAGTACAGGACCCCAGCTGTGCCCTTAGGGCCTCAGGGCCTGCGCGTTCGGCGCAGCTCCGTACAGGATCCGCTGCCGCGCCCGTGCAAACA